AATGCTTAACAAGCAGAGTTAGTTTTTTCCGTAAAATGTATTATCTACAAAATGAGTGCATCTAATTCATTTATACGTACATCTTCTCTCTTTGTTCTGATGATCGATACTGTCTTTTCTATTTATTTTTCAGATTTTTAGGTTGTTGGCACTGTCTTCCTGATGTATGTGGTTGTTATTGTTCCATTGCCTCTTTCATCTCCTTGTGCCGAGGGTCTTTCGGAAACAGCCTAGCTCTCTACCCCGGAGTAAAGGTAAAGTGAATGTATACACTACCCTTCTCAAACTGCACACGTGAGATATTATTGGGGTGTTGTTGTACATCTTCTCTGTCCAAGAACCAAAGAAGAAAAGATGTTGGCCATTTTGCGCAAAGCTCCCATGCCTAAGTTAGAGTTTGGCAATCAATAACCTTAACGGAAACAACCTCTTATAGAAATACGGTATAAAACTGTGTACGATAGACCCTTGTGATCCGATTCTTCCCCGATCCTATGCAGAACGGGAGCTTAGTGCACCGACCTACCCTTGTTATTACTCCTTGCCCAAAGTCAGAGACTTGAAACAACCGAACACGACATAATGGACCACCAATCGCTGTTCCAAAACCTACTAATCAGCACTCTAAAAGAAGAGATTGCCCATGTGAAAAAGCAGCTTTTAATTTAGCTTTTCTGAAACTAAAAGGAGTATTCATCAAAAGTACGTACTCCTGTTTGGTTCTAGTAGTAGCTTTTTAGCAGCAATAATAATAATGCATATGAGATTGCCCAAATTTTAGCTCAGTGCTTATACTACTTTTTCCACTGTCACATTTTCACAAGTCCTGTTTATGTGTTCAGTTAGAAAGCAACATCATAGCATGGGCACATAAAAAGAGCTGAAAATAGAGAGCTTATGTTAGGAGTCCAGAACTTAATTGTGGTATTTTTGGACATTAATGACATAAATATATATAAAAAAAAGTGATCATTCTATATATAATGCGGTTTTATATCGCGCTATATTTTAACGGTGTTTTAACCGTTAAAGTATAGCGTCGTAAATAACCGCGCGTTAGAAGAGGTCATTATTGGGTTCCAGACTCATGTTAGAAGCAATATACAACATATATCTCATATTAATTGTAAAGAATTCCAATTGCAACAATAACTTGGGCTTTCTTAATTAACATCCCAGCCATAAACGCATGCACTTGAATTTCGATGGGTCCGATCGTTTCCCGCCCCGAAGATTAAAACATTGACAAAGACGATATATTGTTGTGTTATCATAATCGATTGTTGATGGATCCGCTTGTATTATTATTATTATCAATTTTCATTACTATTATTATTATTATTATTATTATTATTATTATTATTATTATTATTATTATTATTATTATTATTATTATTATTATTATTAATATTATCATTGTTACTATTTCTGTATTACTATTATTTTTACTACCATTATATTACTACTACTAGTACCACACTAAAGAGTAGCTTGTTGCACTAAGCTCCCGATATGCGTGAGGTAGGGGGAAGGGCCGGACACAAGCGTATGTTGTACGCAGCCTTACCCTGCATTTCTACAAGAGGTTGTTTCCACGGTTTGAACTCGTGACCTCCTAGTCACACGACAACAACTCTACCAGTTATGTCAAGGTTCCTTTCAACTAGTACCACATTGTTATTATTATTACTTACTTACTATTGTAATTGTTGTTGTCATTAGGGAAAAGGGCCAAAATTGTACCCCTACTGTTAAAAATTATCCATGTTAATACCCCCCTTCTACTTTCCGGCTAAAATAATACCTGTCGCTTTTAAAGTTAGAGAATTTGTACCTAAATCTAATGGATCTCCTACGTGGCAACCGGGTCCCCCATAATAATGTGCCAACCTGTCAATATATTGCCAACTAGACTTTTCTAACCCGCCCCATTTTATAATAATTCCTCCTAAAAACAATCCCAGTCGAATAAAAATAGGGTTCAGGCTCAAATTCCCCAAATTCTCTTTCTTCTCCTTTGCACGACTATATCCTCTCTCATCTTCATCAATGTCGCAGAGCAGTACTTCTTCTCATAAAAGGTGTCGATGTGGTATTATTGCCAACCATTTCACATCAACCACTCCCTCTAACCCCGGTAGGAAATTTTACAAATGTGCACGCCCTAAGGTAAGGTGTCGATGTGAATTTGTCTAATCTCTATAATCTTTCTAGTTGTTTTGATTTGAAAAAAAATTGAATCTTTTAAATGTTTCTTTGGCAAAATAATTCATGTGGTTATTTCGAATGGGAAGATGAAATATCCATGGATGGTTCCCAGCTTGAAATAAGAGACTTGAAGTCGTCTTTGAATGCCGTTACGATTGAAAGAGACAAGTTGAGAGAAAAATTAATTGACATGGAAGCCATGAACAAATTTGAAGATGCTAAATTCAAAAAATTGGAAGAAATAGTTGTACAACTAATGATGGTGATAATTGGTTCTTGGGCAATGTTTGTTGGATTCTTTGCTGCCTCGATAATGAAGTAGAATTCATTATGGTTCTTCCTAGTTTAGTTGATTGTTTAGTTAATTATCATTGTGTAGTCAATTGACATGTATTGTTTAGTTTGGTAGGGAACTAGTTAACAATGCAACAGTGTAGTCAATTAAGTAGGGTTCTCGTGTAACTATTTTTTGGACTGAATTTTACCTTTTGTTTAGCTGATGTATTATGCGGCTTTTGGACTGAACTAGTCAATTTAATTTTCTGTTTTTTGTGGGATCATATTACCTCAAAGTGTTCGACCAAATTTACAATTGTTTTAACATGACTAAAACTGGTGGTAAGAAATTTAGAAATTTGAGACATGTCCATGACTTAATTCTCATGACCAAAACTCGAAATTTAACACAGTAGCAGGTTAGTAACATTGATATATAACTGTTACCAACATTGATACCAACTGTCATAATAACACCAACAAACAATAAACACTGTTTTAATTACATCAACCACCAAAACGCCAGCAGGTTACTAACATTGACAGCAAACTAATAACACCAATTTTTTTAATTACATCAACCACCATAAAAGAGATGCAACCAGCAAAAAAATGTACTGGCATAGTAGTATTATGTCAACTAGCAAAGGATAACAACAGTACTGTCATAGCAGTAATTACAAGCCTTCTAAACTTCAAATTCACAAAAACTTTCACTACACAAAAAAGTTGTCCACCTATAGTTCAAGTCACATTAGTTTTGTGACTTGCCATTACCCTTTTTTGTAACAGCTTTCTTTCTCACACAAGATGAGTCACCGACAAAACGGATTGTCCTTGTTATAGCCGGTATAGTTCCTTGATGTCTCATAAGCAGTCTTGTCCTTTCTTCAGAGAAATTCCTTGGCCTAATTTTTGGGGTAGAATCTGATTCAAAATCAGGAAACTCAAAATCTGGAGGCACAGTGTTGTTGGGAGGTTTCTTTTGGACTGATGGAGTTGGCATAAACTGAAAGTTTGAGGCTTGTACTGGATGACTTGATTGACTTGCTTGACTGAATAGTGGTGCTGAAAGATCTATGTACTCCTCAGCTGGTATATTTGCAGCAAGTGGTGACATGGGTTGTTCATCATTACTGTCTTGAGTTACTAAACATCTTTGCCTCTTTGCTTGCTTGCCCTTCTTCTTACTTGTCATTGGTTGCTTTCCCTTAGAATTTTATTTAACAAATATGTAACAGTAAATAGGTAAATAGGTTACAAATAGGTCAATAAAATAGACAGTATTGAAAAAAAAGTATTACCTTTGCACAGCCCCTGGCACTGTGTCCAGGCTGACCACATGTGGAACACTTCATTATCCTCCCCTTCCTGGACTGCATCCATTCACCTTGTTTATTGACTGTTTCATTTTTTTCTCTTGTTATTTTGACTTTAGGCCTGCTAGTCATCTTAACAAATTCTCGTTGATCCATTGCATGAGATGCTTCAACCTTCCAGAATTTTTCTCCTCTCACTGGTTGAAGTTTATGTGAATATGCTAGGAGATAGGCCTCTTTGGAGTACCACTAGTGTATTTCAGTCAAAAGATTCACCTTGTTGTATTGCATTGCTTTGATTGCATGAGGACAAGGGATTCCATTAAGGTCCTATGTCTTACATGTGCATCTCTTGGTGACCATATTCATTGTGTGTCTGTCATCATCTTCACTCACTTCATACCCTTCTTGACCATTAGAATGAACATGACACTTGTTTGCAATCTTCAAGTATTGGTTATACAGTTGTATTGTTTGGGGACTGAATTCATTACTCCATGACATCACATCAGATTCATGTTCCCTTAGCAAGTTCATAACCTTTACTCTAATATCCTCAAGTATCTTTATAATTGACTTGAATCTTAATTCCTTGATCCATGAATTAAATGACTCAGTTAGGTTGTTGTCCACTGAGTAGTTCTTGCAAACAGTGCCAGAGTATGCTCTACTCCAACTTTCAGGTGGGTACTTCATCAAATGTTCAATAGCCTCTTTTCCATCTTCATCCACTTGTGTCATATTCTTTAATTGGTCTTTAAAATCTTCCTCATATGTGCTCCATGCAGCCTATCATAAGTACTTCTTATATTCCCTATGTCCCCATTTTTTGAACCAATTTGCCTCTATGTGTCTTACACAATATCTATGGTGTGCTTCAGGAAGAACCAAGTGGACTGAATCAATCAAACTCTTAAAATGGAAAAACAGTAAAGAAATGCATTAGTAACTAAATGTAAAAGTAAACTAAATGCAACAGTTATGAGTTATGAATCAGAACACTAAATGAAAAAAGTAAAATAAATGCAACAGTAGACCAATCTCAAGTTAACTAAAAGCAAACAATTATGAGTTATGAATGAGTAAACTAAATGAAACAATATACCAATGAAACAGTAGACCAACAATGCAACAGTGAAGAGCAACAGTGAGATGCAACAATGCAGCAGTAAACAGTAAACTTAGGAATTGAAGGGCTCATACCTTTTGCATATCTGAAATAAATGTGATCCCTTCTCCCATTTTGAGGTCCAATGAATGTTGTAGCAACCTTAAGAACCAACTCCATGTCACTTTGGTCTCTTTATCAACAACAGCCCAAGCTAAGGGATAAAAGTGCCTCCTGGAGTCTTGAGCAACAACTACTAGCAATTGACCCTTGCATTTTCCTTTCAAAAAAGTTCCATCCAAGCCAATGAATAGTCTCAACCCGCTCTTAAACCCCATTTTCAATGCATGAAAACAGATGTATATTCTTAGGAATCTTCTTTTACCTTTACTAAGTGCATCCTTTGAAATATTAATCACCACATCTGTTCCTGGATTACTAGACCTTAATTCATTAGCATAAGCCTCAAGCTTATTGTACTCATCTGCAAAACTACCCTCCATTTTCTCCAATATCATTTTTTTGGCTCTCTTACACATTGAATGACTAACATTGATGTTAAATGCAGCTTTTACACTTGTCATCATCTCCTTAATTTTAATCCTAGGATTATCTTGAAGCCCTCTCTTAAAGTAAGCGGCTATGGTTTTTGCATTCATCCTATGGTTATCATATACAGTATTACACTTATATTCTTCCTTTAATGTCTTGAATTTAACACCAGGACCTTTAGAGTCTTTGAAAATATGACAGACAATGGGGCAGTCTTCATCTAAACATCTGTACCTAAGCTTTTGGGGGCAACTCTTAAGTTGTTTTAACCCATAACCATTAGCAAGGGAATACAGGTTGATGAATTTTTTAGCTTCTGGAATGTCTTTGAATGTCATGGACTTGTGTAACTCCTTATACTCAGTCAATTTATCAGATATCTTCCTCTCTTTTTGTGTATGCAGTAGTTCTAATGAATCAGATTCACTGTCAGAATTATCTGAAGAATCACAAGACTGATAGCCATGTTCTTCACTGTCATTTGAACTACAGTCAGTAGCAGCATCAAGTTCTACTATGTTTGACTCAATGTGCTGGACTATATTATGAACATTAATACTTAACTCACACTCATCTACAACAAAGAAGTCAATAACATTAAACTGATCACTAACCAAAGACAGTAGAGTCCTAACACCTTCATCACTTTCTATTTCATAATATTTACCACTAGGCCTATTCATAATTACTTGTTGAACTCCAATAAACCCCAACTTAGAAGTAAATTCATTTATTAAATAGTTATAAGACAATTGGTTAGAGTTAAAAACTTTAATAATGTGCACAAGCTTCCTTGAGTATAAGACTTGTGGATTATATATCCAATCACCACCATAATGAAAGATTAGATCCAATAAGACCATTGCATATAAGCTGCAGAATAAGAAAGGGAAAAAATTAACAAAAAAGTAACATTACAACCTATATAACATGCTGACAAAGTAGAGGATAGAATAAAGGCATAAAGTGAATACAAAGATACATAAACAAACAAACAAAAAATAGTGGGCTGTCACACATGAAGACACAACTACAATAAACAAAGAGATGATGTGGGACTAAGTATATAAACAAAACAAAAACAAAACAAAAAAAAAAGAATCTGGCCCACTTGTCTCTTAACTCAACACAATTGTATAAGAAATAGGGGACCAAACACCCAAAATAAGAGCATCAAAGAAACAGATCCAATACAAAAGGGACCCCTTTTCTATCAAATACCATATATGTAGGACCACAAAAATTGAAACCCTAAACTGGAACAAAAAGAAAATACCAGATAGGGATGATTTCAATACAAAATACAAACCCTAAACCACTAGTAATAAAGACCAAAAAAGAAAAATAAATTTAGTATGAACAGACCACATGCAAACAAAAACAACCAAAATCAGACACACCTCCTAACTAAAAAAATACATATCTACATGAATCAGTCAAAACCCTAGTCAAAGAAACAAAAAATCAAAACTAAATGCAACGATATGCTTTTGTCCATACCAAAAACAAACGAAAGAAATGATGATTTACTAAATTTAACAAGGAAATAGGTACCTTCGTATGCATCCACGATGAAGACGATAGAGACAATTTTTACAGTGAAGAGAGAAGGTGAGAGATTTTTCTGGAAATGAAGGTGAAAGGTTTTGACCGGGTTGGGATTGTTTTTAGGGGGAATTATTATAAAATGGGGCGGGTTATTATATGGGGCGGGTTAAAAAAGTCTAGTTGGCAATATATTGACTGGTTGGCACATTATTATGGAGGACCCGGTTGCCACGTAGGAGATCCGTTAGATTTAGGTACAAATTCTCCTACTTTAATAACGGCAGGTATAATTTTTGCCGGAAAGTAGAACGGGGTATTAACGTGGATAATTTTTAATAGTAGGGGTACAATTTTGGCCTTTTTCCCTTGTCATTATTATCTAGGAAACTTAACGTAAGTAGTAGCAAAGGTAAATATTTTGTTCTAACTAGAGGCCCACAAGATGCAATGAAGAAAGGGACTTCAAATCAGGCCCAAGAAAAGCCTAGCATTTTCAGCCAAGGCTAGCTCACCAGACTAATGGCCTGTTTGGCCAAGCTTCTTTTGAGGTAAAAACACTTTTTTTGGTCAAACGTATTTTTTTCTAAAATTAAGGTGTTTGGTCAAGCTTTTGAAAGGAAAAAAAATGCTTTCAGGAAGAAGCAGAAGCAGTTTTGGAGAAGCAGAAAAGTGTAACTTTTCTCCAAAAGTACTTTTTTTTAAAAAATACACTTAAAAACAGTTTTTTAAAGCTTGGACAAACACTAATTGCTGCTCAGAAGTACTTTTCAAATTAATTAGTCAAACACAAACTGTTTCTCAAGCACTTTTGAGAAAAAACAATTCTCAAAATAAGTTGATTTTTGCAGTTTCGCCAAACGGGCTGTAAGTTAGTCCATCTGCACAATCCAATCAGCCCAAAATAGGTCCAGCTCTTTTAAAACACCTCTCTTTCGGATCTCAAAAATTTCACATTTAATTACCATCTTACACAATCAGAATATTACCGAAGTTTTACGTTGCATTTATTAACAACATGGTAACATGTAACTATGTGTTCAAAGGTCAAATAGTTAATGTTATCATGTTGTTTATAATGACAATCTAACAAAAATCAAACTTTGGACTGGCGGGTAAAATCTAGTGCTGTGAAATCATCATTTACTTCTAGGCTATGGAAATCGAAATCGTTACAACATTTGGAGACCTTTGAGTATTCTGAAAAACTTTGGGAAGTAATGTTGTTACACATCATTTTAAATTGTTTAAATAACAACATTTTGGCAATTTTGGGTTTGATTAAAGTAAAGGAAATCTCTATTTAAATTATAAGTATACAGCCAAACCTCTCTATAACTAACAGCGTCGTTTGTTCCGAATATTTTTGGATGTTATAGCGAAATGTTGTTATAGATAACATATATTATAACATAACAAGAAAATTGATTCAGGAAAAACTTGGTTTTTATAATGAAGTGTTGTTATATAGGGATGTTGTTACAAAGAGGTCTGACGGTATAAGGAATAAAATTATTAGACTAGTGTCCAATGTCAAACTACATTAAAGGCTATTTTGAGAAGGGCATGCAGTTCGAGCCTAACAATGATGAGTAATTTACGGTTGCATTTTTTGACATTTTAAAGGAATAAACTTTGAATTTGAAGTGTAAAGAGTATTCTCTAGGAGCCAAACAAGGTTGCAGTCTTTACATTCAGGTTTAGTAACCTAGATGTTTCATTCAATCTTTCCAAAACTTGATGTTCTCTGGTTTATTTTTCTGTTGAATACGTAAGATAAGATAGACAAAGTATTTAGTTGTTTGAATGTGAAGTAAATTTAACACATTCTAGCCAATCACTCTGTTATTAAAGGCCACTCTTGTAATTTGTCTGGTCGAATATTTATATCAGAAGTCCTCTGCAGAGATGGTTTCTACTAGGGAAGTAGGCCTTGTGTGAAGATTGAATTCAATCATTTGAAGAAAACCTTAGTATAGTGTCATCAACTTTTATGTTTTAATATCACCAGTGGATCTGTAAAATAAGCAGTCAGTCTTGTTAGGGATCGGATCAATGTTGAATTTACTATTTTCCCTCCTATGTAAAAGTCATTGAAGATTTTGATGAGTTGAAATGCACAGATATTGCATTTCCATACCCTTTTTGCTTTATCTTATTTCCATGATAGACATTGCTCTGTTTGATCACAGATTTCAGCTACTACAACTAAAAATGCAAAAAAGAAAAACCACTGGATTTGCAATAGCAATATGGAGTACTTATTATTTATTACCCGAAAACTCAGATTAAGAACTGTTTCATAAGCTGTGAGCTGATACAGAAGCATATGCTACGGCTTTGAAAAATAAGTGCACAACATCAGCTACAGCACATACTTAAGTTTTAAAATAGAATACACTGAAACTGGAAGCAAGTGCACACTGCACCGCAAGACATAAGACAAATTTCTTCCTTCCCATCACCAAGTAGGTTTTATTTCCTGGAATTGCAGATCTAGCTGGTGATCGATGCCTCAGTCCGCATACAAACACAATTAGTGGCGCCGTATAGCATAACCCAGCTTCTTCTTTTTTTCCTCGGAATAGCACAAAATCCAGTTATTTCAGCCATGAAGGTAGTTGTTCAGCGTTCACCAGACTTCCTCCTCTCAATCGCCTAGTGGGGATTAGTTGTGTTCTGACACAATACAATCACATTTCTCTCTCGACTAACCGCAAATGCCACAATTGGTGCGAGTTCTAAGGAGTCTAACCCTCTGCCGAGCTCCACCCAGCCTGCATTTTCTTTAATTCAGAATATTCTTACTGACAAAGCCTCCCTGGTAGGAGATCAGCTTCAAATCTGCCATTTACTTCCAATTCCACATTCATCAGATTACAATGACACCATGACCAGTCACTAATCAATACTCGAGAGCTCGATTTGACTTGATGCTTAAAGATAAAAGTATTGCCTACCGTGCATTCTAGCCACAGAGGAAGAAATGGCAACTTGCCTGCTTATGAAGAATAGGATTTTCCAGAGGAACGGTCATCCTCTCCAGGCTCTCTTGGTGATCCAAAAGTTGCCTACAGCAATCTAGACAAACCAAGTCGAAACTGAATAATTCCTCATATTCACAATTGTTTAAGCACCGCCCACAGTTGATACAACGTTTAATGCAGATAGTACAAGCTCTGCACAACTGAGTGGTAGATTGCTTTTTTTGGCAACTCTCTGAGGGGCAATCATAGACTAGTCTAAGTTGCTGGCATTTCGGGCATATTTCAATATCAATAGCTTGATCATCATCAGACAACACAGATAACTGGCCGCCTTGGAAAAACCGTGGTTTACGAGTAGTTGGCAGCTTGCTGCTATCGACATCTAACAAGACCTTGAACTCCTCGAAGTGTTGGTTCGTCATACCAAATAATCCATCAATACCTAGGTACTTAAGGGTGGGTTTTCCTGCAGGCTTGAAGACCTTTAAGTTACCGAGAACACCATCAGCTGTGAGTCTCCCACATCCTGGGACGCTTAGCTGCATTGAGAAAGTAAACACAAGACATCAGAAAACTATAATAAGAATAAACACATGAAATATTATTATAAAAACATAGGAAATGAAGAATATACTAAGGTATTCACAAGCTTTGATGAACTCCCTGAAAAGGTAATACCAAGAGGAATAGCAGCTTATTTTGATTGGAAAACAAGGGAAAAACTAGTTAGACATTATGTCTCACTATTTCTCTCACAATTCATTGCTCATCAAATTTACTCTGCAGGAAGCCGTTGATACCACGTCCAGCATGACATGAAGAACAAAAATAATTTGTTCCTTAATAAAATATATCAATAAAAATTATGCACACAGCCCTACCTCCAAGAACAAGACTATTGGTCTCTTGGTCTATCAGAATTGCCCCCAAATTGCACCACTCGTTTCAGTAATTTTTTATAAAGACCACTAATTTCAGTAATATAAGGCTAAATAGGTGGTTCCACTATACCGACTGTCCTTTTCAACACACTATCTCCAGTCCTTTAAATTCTGCTAAAAGGCCTCTAAAAACTTTTTTCAAATGATATTTTTAGCAATAAATGATTTTAAATCAGCAATAAATATTTTAATAAGGAATTATAATATCTTTTCAAAAGTTTGAACTACAACTGTACTATGATATCTAGCAGCATAATTACACTGTAGAGGCAGCATCAGATGCAATAGATACCAGAAAAGTAGACTAACACGGGCACTGAAAAGGGAAGAAACAAAGGAATGCAATAGTGAAGGATCCTAATATCCACTCTCATGAACAGTTAAATACTAAGCACTACATCTGAAATACGCACATCCAAGTTCAATCAATTACAATTTTTGCACACCTTGAAAGTTTGTTACGTGGGGCAAATAAGGTGAGAGTAGAACAAGTAATTAACCAATAATAAGAACACCAAATACATCTGTAATGCAAGCCTTACATTCATTATGAGACTCTACGAATCATAGTAATTCTACTTTTAGTAACACAAGATAACGTCTAATAAGAAACTACAATGAGCAAAAGTATCAAATATAGTTAAGTAACCAGCAAAAGATAACAGCTGACCTTTTTCAGGCTAGGATTCCTTTCAAGCACACAATTCAAACCATTATCAGTGATCTTTGAGCAGTGCACAAGACTCAGAGAATGAAGATGACCTTGAGCCCTGTCTGTCAACTTTATAAGAATTTCATCTGTGATCTTACAACTCAATGGATGATCAACGTGAATATTTCTCCACAGAAGTGGATCACCATGTACCACATCTCGTAAAGGTTTGCAAACTCTTTCAACAGAAAGAAGGTCCCTCAAGCCCAGATAACTAAGGGCCAAAAACAGTGCATCTGAAGGAGCACCTCCATCGCCATTACGATGATCATTCACGCCTGACTGATCTTTGTGAGCAGCATCTCTAAAAACCCAATAACTAGAATTTATAATCTCCTCCATCTCAACGTCCATACAACCAAAAGAATCGTGCAATCCCTCTCCTATATCAATCTCAGAAGCATAGGAGTTTTCACCTATGTTCTGGACACCCACATCCTGGTGAATTCTCATAGACCCATTTAGAACAATATTAAGTTCCGTAAACATTTGAGTGTCAACCTCAATCTCATCTGCGCAGAAACCAAGATTCTTTAACCCAAAATCCTTGTCAAAATCCTCTAACCAACCAGTGATGGCCGTAACTTTGGTACTAATATCCATACCAAAAGGATCCTGAGGCAACAAATCAACAATATCATCATCAGAAACCATCTTAGTTTTTTCATCTTCGCGATCCCGAAAGCTGCCCTTTTCACAATTTTTCAAACCCCAAAAATCACTAATATCATCAGAAACCATCTTAGTTTTTCCAGCTTTGTTGTGATCATGAAGGTTTTCAATTTCACAATTCAAACCCCAAAAATCACCAAAACAATCAAGCTTCTCATTTGGGCATTCTCTGTCAAAATACCTATTACACCTATCAAACTCGAGCCCAGCTAAAAATTGTTCGTGTTGATTCACGGCCATAGCTTTCTACTCTAAATATATTCACCCGATTCTACAAGAAAACCCTCAATTCTCGAATGCATACTAAAATAAAAGCACCCAAAGATTTCACAGAGTTTCTTGTGAAAAAAAACCCTAATGGGTCAATCAAAATTAAACCAGATTGTTCCAATCAAACCCCACATTCCGATATTTAAACAGCAATTAATCTAAATACCCAATAGAAAGAACATATCCCCAGCTACGTGATGCACATATTTACGGTGTATTACACAAATCTAGGGTTAGATTGCACAAATAAAATGTAAACTAATATGAGAGAGAGGTGATGATAAAAGGTTTTTTTTTTTTTTACCGTATTACCAGAGAGTGATGACCGCAGTTAATATGTATATACAATATAAAACCTATACAATAATCTGGATGGAATGTATAGGTAAATTTCTGTATCTACATACTGTGGTTCTATAAGAATCGCTAATTTTGATGGAGGAGAAAGAAAGAGGAGAGAGAAAGGGTTTGTGTAATGTGGTATGTATAGGTGTCTCTCTCTAAGCTATAGGTGTCGATTGGTAGGGGGTTGGTGTGGCGCGAGAGACTTGTTCCTTTGGATTACCTCCTCTTTATTAGGGCTTAAGTTGGGCCTGGACTTTTTCTACTCAACTTTTGGGCTTAACGTATTCACTTGGGCCTTCTTGCTCTGCAGAACCTCATACAACACATCGATCAACTAAGTCTCAATCTCAAATTAATTAAAGCACTATAGTGTAGAGCCTAGTAATTAATAGTTTGCCTAATTACTATTCGTAGCTACTGTTCAACTATTACTAGCGTGTATCACTTACATTTAAACTAAGCCTGTCAAACGGACCGGATTAACCCGTTTCCGGACCGGCCCAGACCGGCAGTTAGGGGGCCAGATGGGCTGGGTTAGGGGGTTAGAGGGGTTGGTTCGTTTACCTAAATAGATCAGGTTAACCGGACTGGTCAAACCCGGTCAACAAAAATTACTATTAAATCGGCCCAAACCGGTTTAACGGCTAGAAATCTAGAAAAAAAATAAAGGTGATATGACCGTTGGCAACGGTCAGATGTCTTTTGTCCGTTGCCCCACGGCGGGATTGCACAAATAGTCTTTTTTGGACAATTTTTTTAAAAAAATAAGACTTTTTATAATTGCTAATTTAGCCATTTGAAAAACTATAAATACACCTCCCCCTCCTCTTCTTCATTTCTTCACTCATCTCTCATTTCTCAAACTCATATTCTTAATTATCATTCTATAATTCTTCATCTAAAGTGCAATCAACTATTTGGCTCTCATTTTTTAAAATTTAATTTATCGTATTATTTATTATTTGAAGTTTGAACAATTGAACTTCAAACTTTGAACAATTGACGTTTCTCCGTGGCAGCATTGGAGTTGCGAAATCATCAAGTGTTCAATTTATTGCCGAATTCGATGCATTCCCTCCAACTCTTTCTCTTATTTACTATTTTATTTATATTTTTAATTTTTGCTAGTAGTTAAATTTTCACAATATGTTTAATGCTGCAAAAAAAGTTTGTAATAAGGTTACTAATCGGGGTAATCGGGGAAATAGAAAAAGAGTTACTACTTTAACGTCTGGTAGTAATTTAAATGACTCTATACATTTTTCTGAAACATCGCCTAAAAATAATATAGATTATGAACAATTACAAGAAGATTTCGATATAGAAGATAATGAATTAGAAATTGAAAATGAGACACCACTTACACCTAGTAGTGTTGGAGTTAGTAGCAGGGGTGGTGGTCGTGGTGCTAGTAGTAGATCACCTGTGGCCCCGACTACTAATCGGAGAAAAAGAAGTAAGGTTTGGAATTTTTTTGATGAAATAGAGAATAGTAATAAAGTTAAATGCAGACTTTGTAATGATGATTTTAAACATAAGACTGGAGGACAATTTGGGGGGAGTGGGACACTTAATAGACATATGAGAATTGAGCATCCTATAGAATGAGGCTCTGATTTAGATGAAAATCAAGCAACTCTAAACCCTAGTACTGAAGGACTTATGAAATATGATAAAATGAAGAATCGTGAGGAGTTAGCAAGAATGATTGCTTTGGTTGTCTATCTTTTTCTTTTGCTTCTTCATCATATCTTATTATGTATATTCAAAGGATTTATAATCCTTTATTTAAAGGTATCCCTAGAAGTGCTTGTAGATTAGACATCTTTAGACTTCATAGACAATATCAAACATACATACGTTATTTGTTTGACCACCTTCCTTGTAGAGTTTCTCTAACTTCTGATATTGGCCATGTTATTAATGGAAATAATTATTTGATAATTAAATGTCATTGGATAGATGATAATTATTGTATGCAAAAACGTATTATCGCTTTTAAATATGATGATGATTAGAGTCATACTGTTGTTTTATAAGTACTACTATTTGCGAAGTTGTTGAAGTTTGTAATATTAAGAAAAAAGTATTGTGTATGTCTTTTGATAATGCTTCTAACAATAATGTCGCAATTTTAATATTAAAACTGCATTTGCAACTACCTCTTGACGAAATTTTTCATGTTAGGTGTGCATGTCATGTTTATAATTTAATTATCAAAAATGGCCTTGATTTATTTTCAACTGAGATTACTCATGTTAGAAGAGCAGTTGGTGTTATTCAAGGAAATAATAGACAATTTAAGAATAAGTGTACCGAGCATAACCTTAACTCTAGATTCATGCCAGACGAAATTGTTACTAGGTGGAATTATACATACTTATTTTTAGAATGTTGCTGCAAATATAGATTGCCAATAACTGAAGTTGCTAATGTGCATTGTACTGATCCAAACCGTATATTAATAACTGCTACTTGGGAGGCCATTAATGGTGTTGTTAAATTTTTACATAAATTTTATACAACTACTGTTGAGTTTTCTGGAGCATATTACCCTACTGTTACTATGGCTTTAGTACATATAGCTGAAATTTTTTTTCTACTCTCTGAATTTAAGAAGACAGAAAAATAGAAGGATGCTGTTGAAAAAATGCAAGCAAAATTCAAAAAATATTTCTTTCTAACTCATCCAATTTACTTAATTGGTATTGTTTTAAATCCTTCTATTAAGATGTCTGATTATCACCAATTAATCAATGCTTTATATACTTATATGGAGATTGGACCAACTGAAACCTCAGATATATATGTTTGTTTGAACAAGCTAAATAATTATTTACAAAACTTATATAATTATAATGCAAGTATATTTGATGATGTTGCTCTTAATGTATGCAATGTTAATCCCACTATGTATTGTACCACTTCTACCACTATGGATGATCATAAAAGCCTTGATAGTTTTAATATTTTTTCTACATTTTCTAACACTCAAACAAGTAGCAGGTACATTGATGAACTTCAATTCTACTTGCAAAATCAAAAAGAGTCTCGCACAAAGGAATTTCACCATTGGGATGGTGGAATGAGAATGAAAAGCAATTTTCTGCTCTTTCCGCTATGGCTCGGGGACGTGCTGAATGTGTCAATTTCAACTGTTGCATCAGAGAGTGCATTTAGTCAAGCAAGACAATAACTTGGAGACACCCGTCACTCATTGGGAAGCAATGCTTTGGAAGTTTTAGTATGTTTCAGAGATTGGATTAGATCGGAACGAATAAATCAGGGACGTGAAGATGTTGATAGACCAGAAGACGAGGAACTTGGAGATATATTAACACATAGTAATCCATCTGAATTTATCACTCCAGAAGATGGCCAATAAGTTCATATTGATTATGAAGAACTTACTAAGGCAATGCAAAACCTTTGAATTTACTTTTTTTTCGTTAATTTACTTGTTGTTAAATGTAAACTTCAATTTGTAAGTTTGAAATAAAAAAAGCACTTGCAAATTATAAGTGCAATTTTTTTCCATCTTCATTGTATTCTACTATCTTAAATTCTTAATGAAATATTCAAAATTTCAAATATAAAGATTTTAAATGTCTTTGCATCCTTTTATTCAAACACTCTTTTTATAAGATTATTTTTTAATTTTATATTTTACTTTATATTAATATAAATTATAATAGTTATACAAAACACCAAAAAAAATACTAACCCGGCCCGCGCCCTTGGACCGTAACTCTTACGGTTCATTTTTTATCCTGATGGAACCGGACCCGTTAAGCCCGATTTTGAATAACCCGTAACCAGCCCGGATTGGAAACCGGTCGGTCTCTTTTTTTCCCAACCTGGCCCGACCCGCCTCATCCGTTAAACACCCATAATTCAAATGCACAACGAATACAACCTGTGTCAACTGTATTCGTACGCGCAACAAATACAACTTGGATCAACTGTATTCGTTCACACAATTGTATTTATTTGCACAATGATTACAACATGTATCAATTGTAACTAAGGTAAAATATAAAGGTGTATACAAATGATACAACTTGTATCAACTGTATTCGTTCGCGCAACAAATACAACTAACGCGAAATACATAAACACAAAAAAATAAAATGCTCTTATTGAGACTCGAACTCAAGACTTTCGCTAACAAAGCTGACCCTCTAAAGAATTGACGTTGTATATTTTTTTGGACGGATAGATGTGGAGGGTATTTATAAACCATTTAACAAACGATAGAGGTAGTTTTGGCCCTTTTTCCGTTGAAAGTTTACTATATGAATATATTTTATCCGTTTATGTTCAAAGGTTCATTATAATTACTCTTACACTAGTCATTAATCACTTGAAATCTTGTCCAAATTTGAAAGATATAGTTTGTTTCCTTTGAAAATAAGATTCATGTGTATAAATATGATTCGCGTGTATAATATCGTTTTCTTCGAAAGTAACTAATGTTCCCAATAAATGTACTCTCTCGTAAATATTATGTTTCGGCGCACAACATAATCCAAACATTTGAGTTGTTTCCAAAGTTTTTTCACAATTATGAATGCCATGAGTAAAACATAATTTAGTTATTTTGGTTGCAAATCACTAACGAAAGTTGTACTCTTAAATGCTGTTAAATTACTATTTCTTTACAAGATTGAAGCTAAAAAACTTTTTATTATCTCCCCACCATCTTCACTTTCTTCCATTCTTTTAAATTTCACTAAAATTTTAATATCATAGAATAGTTAGTATGAAATCACATGATTTTTTATTAGGAAGAAGGTTACAAAGTAAGACTAATTTTGTACGCCAACAAGATATGTATAATGTTTTATATATTGCTTTCGATCATGTCTCATTCACTTTTCTCTATTAACTTTGTTTTTGGTCGCTTTCTCATCATTTCAAATCATTTGTGAAAGTGTACCAAA